TTTTTGTTAAATGTGAGCCAAAATCATCACAATTAAAAGAACCAAAGACTTAAACTACTTCAGTCTGTGTGCATTGAATTTATTTAATACACGAGTTTCACAATTTGAGTTGAATTACTGAAATAAATGAACTTTTCCACAACATTCTAATTTATTGAGATGCACCTGTATGTTATAAAGAGTCGTTTAAAGCGATGTCCTCGAGGAGGAGAAAAGAGGAGAGGCTATTTCTGCCCGGCCTTGTTCTCGTTTCAGACACTTAGGCATGAATAATGCACAGATAGTGCTCTCATGTATTATAAAGGAAGGGTAAAATAAGAGGTAAAAGTATTCTCTTTTTTTTTTTTTACTTTGAAAGTTTTTCTCTGTCCATCGACAGAGAAGTTTGAACCACCTGTCCACCCACGTCTATATGATTTCATTTCATTTCCTTACTAATGCTTTCACATTCTCCTAGTCCCTATTATCCTTTATCTTTCATTCATATTTGTTTCATCCTTCCTTTTTTTACTTTCTTTATGTCTATTCCTTCCTTCTTTTACTCCTTCCTTCCTTTCTTCCTGTCTGTTTTTCCTTACTTCCGGTCTTCTATCGATCCATCTCTTCCTTCCTTCCTTCCTTCCTTTTTTCCTTCATTCTTTTATTCCATCCTTTTTTCCATCCATCAATCCATCCCTTCTTTACTTCCCTCTTGCTGTGCTCCATCCTTCCTTCCTGTTATCTTTCTTCCTTCCTTCCTTCCATCCTTTCTGTCTATTTCTTCCTTCCAGTCTTTTTCTTCATTCATTCCTTCCTTCCTTCCGTCTCGCTTTCCTTCCTTCCTTCCGTTTCGCTTTCCTTCCTTCCTTCTTGTCATGTCCTTCCTTTCTTCCTGTTATCTTCCATCATTCCTTCCTTCCTTTCATCCTTTGATCCATCTTTTCTCCCTTCCTTCCTCCCTGTCTATTCCTTCCTTCCTGTCATGTCCTTACTTTATTACTGTTATCTTCCATTCTTCCTTCCTTCCTTCCTTCCTTCCTTCTTTTTCTCCATTGATCCATCTTTTCTTCCTTCCTTCCTTCTTTCCATCAACCCATCTATTCCTTCCTTCCTGTCTATTTCTTCTTTGCTTCCTGTCATGCTCCATCCTTCTTTCTTCCTGTTATCTTTCCTTCCTTCCTTCTTCCCCTCTTTTCTTCCTATCCATCGATATATCACTTCCATTCTTCCAGTCTATTTCTTCTTTTTCCTGTCATGTCCTGACCTGTCTTTTTTCCTGTTATCTTCCTTCCTTCCTTCCTATCATTCTATCTGTCTATATGTGTGTGTCCGTCTATCTATCTATCTATCTATCTATCTATCTTAGCTCTGTTGTTTCTCTGCTTCATACTCTCTCTCTCTTCTCTCTCACTCACTCTCTCCCCTGTGTTGTGTATAGTTGTGTGTGTGCTGGACTGTGAACAATGCAGTGGTACATATTTGATAGTAATGCTTCCTGACTGCCATCCTCCCTCCCCCTCCTGCCCCCCGAGAGCCCCGTGTGGGCTGTTCTGCCAACCAACAAGCCAAAATATTTATACTGAGTGCTGCTACTCGGCCATGTTTTCTGAGTGTGTTTGGACCAGGTGTGCATGTATGAATGAGTATGTGTGTGCCTGTTGGCATACAATGCAGATGTTCAGGCAAATGAGAGGGACGCTGGAAGATATAACCCTATAAACTGCTGTACCATTCAGGATGGGGTAACGCACATTAATTCTTGTGGCATGTTGCAGCACATTATTATGTATTATCTGGCAAAGACGATCACAGATTAAAGTGGATGAGGTAATTTAGTGATTTATTGCTTGTTGCCTTATCATATCATGTTAGGGTTCAGTTTGCATTTAGAAAGTGTTTCCAAGACAAACACAAGCACAGCCTAAATAAAACATTCATAGGATTTCAGAGAGCCCTTATTTACACTCAGACCAAAGTACAGTGCTGCACTTTGAGACTGTTCTGTGAATCTGTGTTGTCTTGTTTTCTTATTATTGATGTTATTAAAAGAACCGTTTTATTTATAATAGTATTTTTTCCATGATATGGAATGTTAGCCTAGGTTTCGGAATTTAGCAGTAATTTAGTTTTATTTTATATTTCATTTCAAAACATAAATGTATTTCATATTTTTAAGAATGTTCTCAAAAGAATCAGGTACTTGTAAAAAGTGAAACATTGTACTTATTTCAATGTCAGACGCTAGACTGTCCACACTTGGTCCAAACCTGATTACCAGGTCACACTCAGTGCTCAAAGGTTTTATCGATGGTGGATTTGTGCAGTGACTCCTCAGTATAGCCATACACAGTTGTTTTTGTATTGTCTGTGGATGTGTCAGATTACCATAATCACAGACCCACACTTAGAGCCCACCAGATGGTGATGAGCTGCAAAATCCCCTCCACAAAAATACAGACAGAACAAGAGCGTATGCTCACACACAGTGTTCACTGACAACATGAAATTGACACTATGTATTTTCTCAATAGTTTTTTAGCACTTTTTTTAGCACTTGTGTTTAGAATCTTTCATCAAAATCTATAGTAATACCTTTTCAGATTTATGTATGTATGTATTTATTTATTTTGCATATTTAAATATCCAGTCAAGGTTTGCTGAATTAGCATGGTCCATTTATATTCATCACACATTTATAGCTAATATTTCTTATATTAAACTGCCCAGTTAAGGGGGAATCCATTTCATGTTTTTTGTTTTTTTAATAAGTGAACTTTAATTATGGGAACTTTTATTGTGAAGTTCTTTCTTCATGCCATTGTTCACTGATTCCAGATATGTCTTGTTTAATCGTTACTTTCAGTGTATTTCTAGTCTTCGTCGTGTTTTTTGTCTTTTGGCTGGCATTGTTATTGTAACTCAACTTCTTGCGGCCCTGCAAACTTGACTACTTGTTTATAAAATGATTGTTTAATGAACAGTTCCATCAAACGTTTGCTAATTGCAAAACCTGTTCCTGTGAAACTGAGTTATGTGGCTTTTAAGGCACATCTGTTAGCTGTCAAATGCTAATGTACAGTACTCAGATAACACTTGTAAGCAACTAAAATGTACAATATTTCAGTTCTGGGAAAATGTCTCTCCTTTCAGTTAAACTTTGTTTTAGTTTATATGGAAGCCCATTTCCGCCACTGAATAAAAAATAAAACAAGGTAATTGCGACTTTTTATCTCACAATTCTGACTTTTTTCACAGAATAATCTTTTCTTGATCTTGAAAATTTTTCTCAGTTCATATCTTACAATTCTGACTTTATAACACACAATTGCGAGTTATAAAGTCAGAATTGCGAGATATAAACTTGCAATTACGAGTT